CCAATGGGTGACCCCATGTCTATGGTCACGAGACATTTAGGTGAAGCGGAGTTCACGATTTGGCCACCGGCATACCCGGAGGTGTCCACTCAGTAATGGCAATTCCTCATATTAGCGCTCAAACCGCAGTCATAAAGGTCATTCCAAAAGTGGCCAATGGTCATGGAACAAGATCCGATGCCATCTATGTGATAATATTGTGCGTTTTACCCAAGAGAGAATCGAAACTGAGTCGCAATACATATGCACAAGGCTTTCATCACACACGGAGAGTCATATTTCCGACTTTCGGCGCTGGGGGTGACGGATTACGTAACGTCGCAATGTGGTCGGACCGACGTGTGTTCAATCCGGATTGCGTCGAATCCTCGTCCCACCACCACCCAGTCCTCCCCCTCTCATCTCACCAACTTCACGACCACTCTTCAAGCCAGCAATGTTCTCGCAACTCGTAGGAGTCTCTCTCCTTGCCGTACAGGTCTACGCCACTCCTCTCTCCACCTACACCGGCAGCAGCGGTTCCAACGCCAACCAACAGATCTCTATCGCCCCTTTACTACTCAGCACCGTCCCCGACACTCACATCCCCAACTCGTACATCATTGTCCTTAAGGACGGGGCCGACCTCACCAGCCACACCAATACCGTGCAAGCTGCCGCGCTCAGTGACGACGAGCCACTCCCTGTCGCGAGCGGCCTCACCCATGTGTACGATGGTCCAATCAAAGGATACGCTGGCAAGTTCAGCAACGCTACCGTCGCGCAAATCAGGACGATGGCAGAGGTGGACTATGTCGAGCACGACCAGATGGTATACGCTACTGATGTTGAGCATGGGGCTCCTTGGGTGCGCATCTCACTTTTGGCTTTGACCTTCACACCCCTATCTTTGTGGGACGTGTCTCTAATTAAACTGGCATTCGCCTCCTTTATAGGGATTGGCACGTATCTCTCACAGGAAGAAGCTGGGCTTTGGGACGTTCAGAGAGGTATGAATCCATTTCATTTCATCTGCACCTTCGATCGCGTCGCGTGCGCAATGTGATTGCGTTATCGACCAACCCGATATACATACGGCCTTCACCCCGCACTTTCCTAACTGATGCTTTCCTCGCCCATGTCTCATCACTCTCCAGTACATCTACTCGTCCGAAGGTGGCAAGGGCGTCGATGCCTACGTCATCGACACTGGTGTCAACATCAACCACCTCGAATTCCAGGGTAGGGCCAAGTGGGGCAAGACCATCCCGTTGAACGACGTCGACGAGGATGCCAACGGTCACGGAACCCATTGCGCTGGTACTATCGCGAGCAGGAAGTACGGTGTTGCCAAGGCCGCCAACATCATCGCTGTGAAAGTCCTCGGGTGAGATCCAAGAATTGCTTTCTCATACCTCCTACATCTGGCACCAATCTAATCGCCTTTCAAATAAAAGCTCAAACGGATCGGGAACCATGTCCGATGTGCTCGCTGGTGTCCAATGGGCTGCCAACTCTGCGAAGGCTGCGCTCGCTGCGTCCCAAGCCGAACTCGCAGCCACCGGAAAGACCGCACACAAGGGATCCGTTGCCAATATGTCCCTCGGAGGTGGTAAGTCGAAGGCCTTGGATGCTACCGTCAACGGCGCCGTCGATGCTGGACTCCACTTTGCTGTCGCTGCTGGTAACGAGAACAAGGATGCGTGAGTTTCGATTTCATTAGTTGCTAGCCGCAATAAACTGATAAACTGGTACTAATATTTTAGCTGCAACACCTCTCCCGCCGGTGCGGAGAAGGCTATCACTGTTGGCGCGTCGACTCTTGCCGACAGCAGGGCTTACTTCTCCAACACTGGACCATGCGTGGACGTCTTCGCCCCTGGGTTGAACGTAAGAGGCTACAAGCATGGCTCGAACCGAGGAAAATGTTAATCATTCTGTCTCGTTAGATCCTGAGCACCTGGAACTCTGGCAACACCAGCACAAACACCATCTCTGGTACCTCGATGGCCTCGCCTCGTCAGTACCTCTCATATATCCATGGCGTCATCCATATACACGACCATGATACTGACCAATCTCATTTATCTACAGATGTCGCTGGTCTCCTCGCTTACCTCCTCTCCATCTACCCCTCCGTCACATTCGATCCCGAGATTCAGAGCACTGAGGCAGTCAGCAGCATCTCGGCGACAATCACCGCAACTGTCTACACCGCCATCCACGCCAACCTTCCTATTTGGGTCGCCAGCTTCCTCCCCAAGCCTCAACAGGCACAGGCCGTGTTTGGAAGCAGCGTCGCACCGATCCCGTCCGCATTGACCCCTGCGCAGTTGAAGGCTGCCATCCTCCAACTCTCCAGCCCAGATCTGTTGACCGACATCCCGTCCAATACCATCAACCTGTTGGTGTTCAACAACGCTACTGCGCTCAAGTGAATGGATGCGGGTGTACCAAACGAAGTGCTGGTATTGGCCATGTGAAGGGGATCTCTGTCCCATGAAGTGTGATCTTTCCGTCTTTCCTTTTCAACTGTCCCTGTTCGGCGTAGTATCATGATTTATCGGCCTTTGCGCTTCTTCGAGGTTTGACAACGAATACATATGTCTCTCCTTTCGTCTACTGTGTGACATCCGCATATTGGGTTGAGATCGTCAGTAAGACCATGGATACATCGAACAACGACATGAGGAGGGTCTGTAGCTATAATCACGCAAGGCAAGGACAGCAAGCTGAAGCGGACCACCATTCATCAGTCAGAGGAAACCATCAAATGTCTTCTAGCTAACGTTAGCATGGCCCAGGTGCACTCTGCTTCATAGTCCCCCGTTTATGAGGGGGGCCTCGTATCCTGGCTGGCAAATGTCGGGAATGGGATAACCGTTCTTGATCGCATGAGCCTTGAGCCTCTCCAACTCTTTTGTCTTCTTCTCGTCCTTGACTCCCCATGCAGCCGGTATGATTCGCTTACGAGGCACGCTGTGCTTGAAGTCAAGTCGATCAAGATCGCCGAGTGCCTTGAGCGTTTTGAGTTCGACAAGAGAGAAATCCTCTCGTTTCGGGCGGTTGAATTGGAACGGCTCCTTGAGGCTGACCTGCGAAATGAGTGAAGTGAGTAACATCATCGACAGATATCGAAGGAAGACTCGCTGGTGGGTTTGTGAGTATCCTCGGTATCCTCAGGTTGTTCCTTGACGCTGAATGTAGCATCAAAGGATGCATCAAGATGACGTCTCCGATCTCGCCAGTGAGCTCCACAAAGTCGTCCCCAGCCTCCCGCATACGTTCCATGAAGTCGAATTTGCCTTCACCAGGTCCCATGCCGGGTTGAAGACCCTCGGGGTGTGCAGCTAGGTGTTTAGCGATGGTGCTGATGCCCATTGGGTTGATATAGGTCCCGCCACCTCTGGGAATGATATCGGAGAATATGGGAATCACGAGCAGGGCTTGTTCAGGCGAGTCGAGGAAGTGGAGGAAGAAGTCGCCTAGGAATACGATAGGATGGTGGATGAGCGAAACCGGGTAAGCTTTGAGCCCTATAATCGTGGCAATTAAATGCTATCATTCCAATTCACCGTCACAATGCCAATTTGTCAAATCTCTTGGAGCCTAGCAATCATTGGCATCGGTGGGCGGACTTTTGGACCTATGTCATACGCTTACCGTGTCAATGTGCTCATCCTCTGGCCTCCCAAAATTGCATATAAAGCTGAAACACAGTATAACCAAGCATTGAGCCCTAAATAGCGATAACTTCTGAGGCCTCGGTTTGATCAAGCACAAACTAACCTGTCGCCCCATACCGCAGACCTCGGTTCAATGCGATCTTCGCCACCAAGTAGATCACAGATTGCGCCCCAGCTGTTATTTGAGAGGTGTATCATTCGTAAATCAGTCTTCGGACAAGTTGAGATGAAAGTGACTCAGGTGTCTTACGCCTTGGGGCTAAAGGTCTTCACGGACTCCTGTCGTAGCCTGGGTAGATGCAGTCGCTCCTCAGTCCAAGTGTTCTTG